TTTCAGTATATGTAGGCTTGGAGACTACCGGTGAGGCATGAGCAATAATAAGGTCGGGAGACTTGCAGACCACCCTTCTCAAAGAAGGATACATTTTTTTCTTCCAGATGGATTCACCTCATCCTTCTGTACCTGCCTGAGGCTGTAGTAGGCCTGAGGAGGAAGGAGAAGAGGAAGAAGAATATGACGAAGGAGAGGGAGGTGCACGGGGAGAAGGTGGTGGAAGGAGAAGAAGAGGAGCAGGAGGAGGCCGAGGCGGATGAGAGGAAAGAGGAGAGCTACACCTGCACGGGGCCCCGGATCCCCGGATGCTGCATTGCTGCTGCCCTGGGCTCGCCGCCGTTCTCCTTCTGGACGCAGGTGTTCGAGTCCTGTCTACCAGCAAGAGGTGATTGGTCCACGTCGATGGGCGCGGCGAGCGATGACGTCTCCGAGACACAATCGAGCTGGCAGACAGGGGAACCCGACGATCGGTTTAGATATGGCGGCAAAACCTCGTCCTGCCACTTGGTGCGGGTCGGCATGAAAGGACTCAGCAGCCGAGAGTCCGGTCTGACCGGACTCGACGACGAGCGGGACGATTGGCTCTCGAAGCGGGTCGAAAAGGCCTATCAGACCTACAGTGAGGCGAGTTGAACAGCTTCAGATTGGTCAAGTGAAGTCCGTCCCTCTAACCGGTCCATTCTGACATCACACACACACACACACACACACACACATATATATATATATATAAGCATTTTCGTCAGACCTTTTAAAGGTTCATACTGGGCAACATAAAAATGGGCTGTTTTGATGTGGTCAGTCTGCCGGGCCATACGAGAACGTTTAAAGAAAACCGGTTTTCGAGGAATCCTCGATTAACGAAGTGGTTTGACCTGTTTTCGCAATCTGGTAGTGTTGTCTGGGAGACTTGAATGAGAACCCTTTTTCCGAAGAACTCATCCATAATAGTTGTGATAATTCCCAGCGATGAAGCATGTACTAGGCGCATTTCCAGATCATGGTCCGGAGGAGTCGGGATATGATGATCGGTAGTCCGAATATTTGCTCATATATACTGCTGTTGAATGTAAAATATGTGGTACTTATTGTCAGGATGATTTATCGCGTTAAC